CGACTGCCTGGAGATAGTGGACTGGTCAATCAGTTAAACACTGAAATCAATATGAAAAAAATCAGTGACTGTTCCCTCAGCCTCTTGTAACCCTTCAGGAAGCAGGCCTGAGGCGAGCTGATAGTGCCCGGCGCTGCCCTTCCCACCGATCCTGGACATGCACTCCCATTCTCTTGCCCTCACGTGGAAACCAGACGCAGGCCAGTTCCTGTCTGGCTGCAGGAGGCGAGGGCAAAGCACCCCCGCCCCATGCAGGGGGACATGGCCTCCAATCTAGAGGCAATCGCCAGCGTCTGAAGATGCCAGTTATAAGCAGAAATGTCCTTTAAGAAGTACCACTTCAAATGTAAACTACGAAACACTTGAACTACAAAACACAGCCGGAAATATGCTTGAGAACCCACACTTATTTAGGTGACGCAATTAAAATGTGACTCTTGAGATCTCCGAAGGCTGACAGTGTTTAACAGTAGCTGAGAACATAAATACTTAACATAGGCATTTGAATATCACATTTGATTACAACACACAAATAATTTCTTCCTTGGTTTAATTTTTGTGGTGAAGATTAGCTATTTTCAGAATTCATTCAAGCAACAATGACTGGGGTGGGGGCTGCAGTTGGGGGGGGTTAATCATTATTTTTAGCCCACATAAAGTTCATAGTCTTTTCAATACCAAGATCAAGCTGGCTACATGATTTAAAAAAAAAAAAAAAAGGCTAAAACCAGGATGAATGCCCACATTTGAGGTAATTATTGCCACTAGATCACAGTTTGTATAAGAAAATGTATCTAAAACCTTCTTTAAAAAAAAAATCTTTAGGTGTTCTGTCAGAGTTCCAGAATATCTACTGAAACCAACCAGGATCTCAAACCTGATTAGCTGGGTTTGCTTCCAATGGAGTAAAAGCTCCAGAAGATTCTAGAACTTGTGTAAACTACCTAAGAATTTAGGCAAACAAGCCTGGAGCCAATCAATAAAAGCAGTTTCTTCAGTTAACAAACCAAAAACCAGAAAGCCGGCCCCCGAATGACTGAGATGTTTCATAACAAAGGATGATAGTTGTCAGGAAAATGAAAAATGGAGTCCTAAAGCATTTCTAAATTCTTGTCACTTTTCAACCAAAAGCAAAATGTTTCTGTGTTAATCTCATTCCTGGCAAGAGACTCCTTCTTAGGGCCTGAAAGCTGGCTTGGTTTTCTGGGCTTATGGGACTGCAGCCTTCCATTCTCTGAGAAGATTACCTCAACAGAAAACTCTATTGTGTTCCTCTTGCTGAAAGTCATCTTGTCTTTCTCCTTCTTCTTTTTCTTCTTTTAACAGCAGACCCACACACGGTATTTACAAATTTGGTGTGAACCTGCACCTGGTTCTACCCCAGAGCTGAGGAGTGGATCCAATACAGAGACCAGAGTTGTCATGATATTTATCAGTGCAGTAAAAAATAGCATTTTGAAAAAAATATATACCTTTAGTATTGCCTTTAACTCTAAGCAAGAAAAAATTATTTTTTTTAAAAGAAGAAAAGAACACTTTGTTTTTCTTCACTCTTATGAAGAGTTTCTTGTAGCAGCACTACTAAAGCTAGTTGTTAGGCTGGAAAGAACTGAAATGAATTCTACTATGAATCAAAAGCAACCCCGCCCCCCCACCCCCCACGTAAGTTTCTTTAAGAGTCAAACTAACCCCCCTCCCCGCCTGCATCCAGTTCTGGACCCCATCACACAGATTCTCTGTGAGCCCCAGGCACGGCACGGGGAAGGCGCGGTGACATTCCTTCTTTGCACAGACACAGGAGACAACCAAGGCCGGGCTCCACCCTCACGAGTGGCGTGACCCATGGCAGGGTCTCCAGGCCAGCTGACTTCCTCCTCTGCAAAGGGACTGACTGCCATGTCAAGGGTTATTACGAGACTGAATTAAACCAGACAAGCAATGAGCAGATATTCACACAGTGTTTGGCACAGAGGAAACAGGTGCATCGTTTAATGGTTCCTCAGAGATAGGAGGCCACTCGTTGCTGACAATTTAAAAGGCAAAACAAAACCGTATCTCAATAAAGGCCAGATTACTGGGAAGTTTCATGAGAAACTTGGAGATTCTGGGCCACCACTGCATACTCGAGCCTCTGACACATGCTGTTTTCTTAAAGCATCAGCTTTCTCTCTTACTTCCCCATCTGGAAGTGGGGTGCTGTCCCTGGGGTGCCTTCAAGGGCTCCAGAGATCACGCTTGTGCAGGGCTTGGGGCCTGGCGTATCAGTAAGTGTTGGCTGTTATCACTGGGCCCACACAGGACGTGAATGCCGGGGCCTGCGATTAGGGGCTCTCAAAGGCAAGTGGCCGTCGGGCTGGGGGTTGGGGAGCTGTCAGGAAGACCCCTCGGGGACAGGTCTTCTGAAAGAGCGCCCTGTGGGAGGATGCTCCTCTGGAAACGCTCGCTGAGCCTGGCAGGGAAAGCGAGCCGAGGCCAGCTCTCTTGGACTTGAGGCCGTTGCAAGGAAGATGTGAGTGACCTCAACTAGTTTGGGTCACTCTGGGGCACCCTGATGCCAAAAGCTTTCCAAAGGTTTCTACTGCCTTTGCAAGCCACGTCCCCTCTTTCATCCTTTATTCACCTGGCTGCGACATCACTGAGTCAGTCTGTGGGGGTTAGAAGCGAGAGCCCTAAGGCATCAGAGCTGAACGAACACTGGTACCCCCGGGCCGCTCTCGTGCCTCCAGCCGCGACCCGTGCAGCTCCTGGCGGAAGCTGGGTTTCCATCGGAGCCATGCGACAGCAGGTCAGTTAAGCCCATGCGTGTGGCGCTCTGGGACCCCACCAGTAACATTGAGGGTTATTTCAGAGGACAGTTCTGAAATAAATGCAGTATATAAAAAAAAAGTCGGGGTAGAGAGGAAAGAGAAAGACACATGGAACGGCATCACTAACGATGTCGTTATTGCCCAGACCGGAAGAGAGGAACGCCAAGGTGTCCGTCTCTGGAAGTGTCTCTGAGAAGGGTTCTTTGGCTAACGGGACAGTTCCACCTTCCCTTCCAATTTGGTAAGGACATCTCTGGCCTGCTCTCACTTTGGAGGCGTCCCCATCTGACAGCCGAGACAAATCAGAAAGAAAAGACCCGCACAAGGAGCCCCGTGTGCAAAGGCCCAGGGCAGTGGCGGCGCCCGCGGAGTCGGGCTGTCCCAGGCGAGGCCCGGCGAGGAAGGAGCTCTTCCCCCTCTGTCCAGCCCTCTTGCTACTTGAAGGCGCCTGTTTGTTTTCTTCTTGTGGCTTCCTGTCCGGGCAGCTACAGGCCAGGCCGGCAAGGGGCCCACTACCTAGCCTGCTCTCAGCACCAGAGAGCCAGGGCGAAAGCCGTGGGGAGTCTGTGGACGTACCCCAGGTTCACCGGCCACAGCCAGTCAGTACCAGTTCCTTAAGCCTCCTCATCTCCTGCCTCCAGTTTCCAAGAACGCCTGCTCCGCTCGCTCACACACACTCACACGACCCAAATCCTCCATCACAAGCTTGTTCAGGAACGAGTGTTTGCAAATCCACAGATCTGGGAAATCAGTCTGCTGGCCGGGCGCTCGTCCTGCCTGCCCTTCCTCACACCCAGCCGTCCGGGGTTTGGCGGGTGAGTCTCTCGGGGTGAAGAGGGCGCAGCCTACGAGCCCCTCGGCCACCAGAGAGGCCAGAACACAGCCAGGAAGTGACTGCTGGCTCACTCCGACCCCCCTTTTCCCTCTGAGTTCCATCAACCACATGCTCCACTTCACAGTAGTAACTGGCATCCAGCCTCAGACTCTCCCACCCACTGGCCTGCTCACCCCTTCCCTTGGAAACAGCCAACACACCACAGAGAGGCACTAGGCGCAGAGACACGGATGCAAACACCCAGACGGGCCAGCAGGAACCCACCGGACAGAAGCAATGGACCCATGCTTCCTGGGCTCGATTCCACAGCTCTTCTTGGCCTGTTCCTCAACTCTTCCCCTCAGTGCTGGAGGATGCCTCTTCAGTGAAGGCTGGAGCCAGAACAGAGGTGCGCTGGGGACATCTGCGGTCTAAGTCGGGGCTAGGCTGGCATCGGTCTACTTGAGGGCTTGGCCCTAGGGTGGGCAGCCTTCATCATCCCACTGGCTGGGTGCCTCGGGGCTGGAGGGGATGGCACTTCAGGCCAGAGCGGGTCAGCGCACGTGGGCCAGGCCTCTCCCACTGGGGGCCTTCTCGTAGGGTTTCTGCTACCAGCTGTCTGTGCCTGGGGCTGAAAAAGGGAGGCAGTGGGATGAGGGGAGGGTGGGGTTGGCAGAGCATCAGAGGGGCCAGATGCCACCTGGCATCTCCCACCTCCAGCTGCTCCTCCCTGAAGGCTGCTCAGCTTTTCCTTCATCAGGGGTTGGTGGGGGTGGGGGTGGGGTGGGGGATCCCGTTTGGAGGGCAGCCTGTGGGCGCCTCAAGCTGATTTAAAAAATCTACTTGCATAGGATGCACACCATTGAGGGGGTGGTCAGAGCCTGGGGGGCCCTGCTCTGCCCTGAGGTGGCCGATGTGTTGGGCGGAGCCCCGGCCCACAATGTCTGAGGATCTGTGAGGCTCCATCAGGGCTTCCCTGGCCTCCTCTCCCTCCCTTCTCTCCCTCTTTTGACTCTGGCATTTGCTCCCAGAAGTTCACACTGTGGTATCAGTGGCGGCAGAGGGGAGGCTACAGAAGCAAACAGTGTGGGTTTGAAGTGGGAGGAGGGAGCTGAGGCTGACATTTCATGGGGGAGGGACCACCTACCGGGCACCCCAAGAACTGTCCAGATCCCACTAGCGTCAAGGACAAGACGACCCTCTCTGCACTGGAGGTTCAAGCTGCCTCCTGAAGCGCGGATGGGAGAGTGGCGGGGTCTGTGCTGGGTACAGGATGCCTGGTAGGGGTGAGGTGCCGGGGGTGGGGGGGTGGGGGTGGGGCGAAGTTCAGCCCACGAGATTCCCAGACCATTGAGAATCTAGAAAATACCACACGGAGGGTGACCCCGTGGCCACGAGCCCAGTCTGGCTCGAGGAGAAAGGCCTTGCATCGTCTTCAAACTTCTGTTCTCTGGTGGAGCTTTCCTGACAGCTCTTGTTGGAACAAGGATGACAGAGACGACTTTCCTAATTCCTCAGTCTTTCCTTTTTCCTTTCTGTTTGACAAAACTGGACATCTGTATGTCCCTTCAGTCCACTCAGATACTCACAGCTATAATAAAATAAGTTTAAATATTAAAGAGAAAAACACAAAGGTACTTGGAATAAATGTGCACTTAAAACCCCAACTAAAATATCAACACAACGATATGATAATAATTACAATGGTAATAATCAAAATAATTAGTACAATAATATTATCTTTATGAGCAGCATGGAACTTTCATTCCTGATGTGGAAGAAAAGGAAAGACATCGGGTCGAAGAGTACGAGACCGCTGACCTAACAGACGAAAGAATTCTCTTTAAAAATGGAAGGCTCGGTTGTCTTTTTCCCTAAAGGTCAGCTCTAGAAAGGGCTGGAAGTGGACTCTGCGAGCGGGTCCAGGGTGCTGCCCAGTAAGGCAAACGGAGACTCGTCTGCAGCCAAGATGACTGCAAAGGGCGACAGGGGCTCTGCTGGGTGTCGCTGCCCTCTGGCTTCCACAGTCCCTGTGGGAGGGGGTTCGGGGGGGCTGGTGGGCTTTGGGGGCTCCGGCAGGCGTCCTCCAAAGGCTTTCGTCTCCCCACCCTCTCTGGACTGGCCATTTGCTGCCATCTTGCGAGTCCCCGCTCCCAGAAGGGCATGGCCTGCTGCCGCAGGGACCCCGGGGGGCTGCCTGAGGGTGCCCCGGCCTTGAGCAGGTCATGGTGTTCTCCTTCCCAGCCAAGGCCTGGACTAAGCTGGTTCTAGTTTGGGGACCTATTTCTTTGCAAGATTAAGTACGACTGATAGCTGGGGAGGGGAAGTTTCCAGAGCGATTTCACATTTCACAGCTAAGAGCTAAGGTAACGGCTTCGTTACTAAATTAGGTCGGATGTTGCTTAAAACACCGTTCACAGTAGATGGCTGAGGGAGACGCAGAGTGAGGGTAGGAAGGGCGGAGGATGGGCGCCAGGCCCCGGAGCCATCGCTGCACCTGGACACCTGGCTCTGGGAGTCAGTGAAGGACTTAGCGTGGAGAGTCAACAAGTTAGGACCACCCTTCAAAACCCTAAACTGACCCACAGAGTCTCCCCACATTCATGCGCTTAGGAGTCATTTGCAGTGAATGAACAGACCCCCACCCCCAACGCTTGCAGCAGTGATCAAAGCCTGAGGAAGCTTCCAGAACCACATCAATGGTGCAAAGAGGGCAAAGGGCACATTTCTTTGGAAACGTAACTGTGGGAGTGTTTTCCAAAGTGCTGTGTGAGGCCTGCTGGCCACCCTCAAAGCATCCCTCCACCTTCTACCCAGCAGACCTCTCGAAAACCCAAAACCGAAGTCTCGTCTTGGGGAGGTCGGGTCATGTGAGGGAAGGACCAGCTGACTAGAGAGAGAGGGACTGGGCAAATCTTTGAGAGCCTAACACCACCTGGAAACCAGAGGAGAGGGGCCGCCAGCCAGTGCAGTCAGGGAAGGCCCAGCACGGCGGGGGGGCCCCCCGCTGAGATGGGCACCCCGCCCCTCCACTTTGTCCCTTCTGTCTTGGAGGAGGCAGCCATCTCTCCCACGCATGGCACAGCTGGGGGCAGAGTGGGGTGAGGGTGAGGGGGGGGGTCTGTCTTGCATTTCCCCCCAAGTAAAACCATCACCTGCCCGCCATCCAGCGCCCACATCTCTCCGGGCCGATGGGCTCTTCTAGGCCCTGCCAGCTCCCCGGCCCTTCGACTAGCCGAGGGCCCAAGAAAGACAACAGGTATTAGAATGTAATAAAATAAAACGAAATAAGGAAAGAGCAGAGTAAAATGTTACAACAGCACAGAAGAAGCCGAGACTGGGCCTCGCCTCGGTCGGCTTCTCGGAGTACCGTGGAAGGGAACCCTCACCCCGCGTCTGTCGCTCGTAAGGCACTAGGAGGGACATGATGTAAAGCCAAGGCCGCGGGAGCCGGGCGGTGCGGGCGGGGAGGGCGCGCCGGGCCTGGCTCCGCGCACCTGGACCACCACATTGGTTACATGCCTGTGTTCTATCACTTTTTTTTTGTGCAATTACATTGAGGAATATTCTATTGGTATCATTGGGGTCGAACAAAAGTAGAAAAGGAGGGTCAGAGCGCTACATTCTAGAGGCGTCGGCACGACCGCTAGCCCTACCTACGTGGGAGGGGTTGATTCGAAGAGAAAAGAAATCTCCAGGAAAAAGAAAACCAAAGTTTGCCACACACATCGTTAATGACATCTGAGGAATAACATTGTTTAGGGATTTATCCAGAGCGCTCTGAAAGAGACCAATGCTCTCTCCCGGGGTGGGGAGAGAGGTCTCCTCTCCCGGGGTTGGGGGGGGGGTCGTCCTTGGGCCTGGCCGTCCCCCATCAGTCCTGACAAATGAGCCAGAATTGGGCTTTGCCAACCTCAGACCGAGCCACCAATGTCAGCCTCCAAGAGGGCTGCTGACCTTTTAGAGTTCTGGAAAAATCCCTAATGCTTATGTTCCGTCATTAAAAATCTATTGGATTTCCGTATCAGGTATCCCTGACAGCAAATTCTTAAGTGTTACTTGCTGCCATATGAAAATAATCTTTGTAAAGTTCATAGATAAAGTTCTTCGCGAACTGGGGCCCCCCACTTCCGGAATCTTCCCGTGGCTCTCCACTTCTCCTTTCCAGTTTGGTGCAGATGGGTTCGTGAGCTGTGGTTTTCTTTTCTTTTCTTTTTTTTTTTTCTTTTGTTACTGACATTTTCTTTTTTTTTCTTTTTCAAAATAAAAAGCATAGATTCCCCTCCTTCTTAATCCCTTCCTTCTGGAAATGTCCTCTTCTCTGCTCTAAGTCCTCTCACTTCCTAGTTCAAGTTTCACTGTGTCCCCACCGACCCCAGCCCCCTCCCCTGCCCCGTTTGCATTGTTTGTGTGCGGTGCCTTCAGTATAAAAAGCCCAGCTCCCACCTGTCCCTCCTCCGCCCCCTCCTCCCCTCGCCCTCCCCCCCTCCAGTGTTTATATGTAAGGGTACTGGTTGACCTTGGCGGGGCTCAGTGGGTATCCAGTGTAGACGGTGGAGGCTGGAGAGGCGCTGATGTAGGTCTGGTGGGCAAACTGGGCTGGATACTGACTCGGGTGGATGGTGGGCGAGGGCAGGACCCGGGGCCCCATGCTCACGGGGACCTGGTGGACGATGCTGGCCGGGTAGGCAGTGTGCTGCATGGTGTGACGCGCTGAGCCTTGGGAGGCCACCAGGTGGGCCACGGTGCCGGTGGAGCCCAGGGCCGCGGGCGCCGTGTAGGTGTAGGGGGGGGAGCCCAGGGCCGTGGAGGGGGTGGAGCCCAGGGCCGCGGGCGCCGTGTAGGTGTAGAGGTGGGGCTGGGTGGGGAGGTGGGCGGCGGCGGCCGCGGCAGCCAGATGGGGGTGCACAGTGCCGTGGCTGGGGCTGTTGTGTGGGAAGGAGTACGGAGCCTGAGCCAT